TTTAAGCGGATTAACGACGTTTAATATTGCTTAGCAAAGAGTTAAATTAAACTGAGTTTGCATGGATGTTGACAGTTGCACGGAAGAGTATAAGAGGAATCGAGGTTTTTCTGAGAAATTCAAGTTAATATTTGTACTTCAAGGACAGACAATATCGATATATAAGGTAAGCAGTGATTCAGAATGAATCATCATGTTTTAATATTGTTTGAATGCGTGGTCTAAAAAAAATGCACGCTAAAAATATAAGCATGAAAAACGAAATCATTCGGCGAGTTATGTTTAGGCTGAATAAAGCCATACGTTGTCACATCCTCATGCGTTTTTTAACAATTAAAAAACAATTTTAATTTTTACACTATTTTCAGTCTCGTAATTTTGAAATTAAAATTTGTGGCTCATTGGTGCCTGGTGATGGCTTTGTCGGATACGATCGCCAACGTAGACTTTTGTTGGCTGGCTACGTTAACTACATTATCTAACTATACATTATCTACATTATCTACCTACATTATCTACCTACATTTTCATTTTTAGATAAGTTACTTAGATACTTTTAGGCCGAATAACATAGGAACATAATGTCGTCATAATTATTGATAACAACACAATTTTTTCATTATCTTCAGTCGGATATTTTGCTTATTGATTATATTTTTATTTTAAAGGAAATCAACTACAACAGCAATGAGGCTCATTGGTCAAACATTAAGATTCTTTACTGCTCTAATAACACTCGTATTTGCTTTGGAGAACACAATCGCCAGTGTTAACTTTTGTTACGATTCAAGTTTTGAAGGTAAGAATGATCAATGCATGGCCAAAATTTTTTGATTATAAAGCAACCACCTTTGTAATGGAGAACCAGTTGATTTTGTCATCACACTGGCATATCATATTCACCACATTTGCCGGTGATTTTTCTGACCAGTTATAATGGCATCGATCATTAGCACTTTAGTGCCTATGGGCGCTTTAGCTCTCTGACTAATAAACACGTTTATAACTGTTCAACCAACATCATGGGGACTGTTGTGAGGCTGATCAGGACAACTCTATAATCCTTATTACCGTGTGTTTATACATTATCGTCTCCAACATTTTGTTATAAGGAAGAATTTATTTCAGAAACAAAAATAGCTAAGTATTAAACTCCTCGAATATGTTTTGCTACAAACTTTAGGTTTCAGGCTAAATACAACAATTCACTCAACTGCATTCGTCTATGATTGGGTTGACTGTGCTGGGGAGTGCCTCAAAGAACCCTGTTGCAGATCGATCAACTTTAAGAAAGAATTCATCTCACAAAATTCAGGAAAATACAATTGCGAAATGTTGCAAAATGTAATCACCAATGTATCACAGAACTTGTTGGAACCAAACTCATCCTACGATCACGTATTTATTCATAACCAAAAAAAGGTAAAATATTCTTATGCATTAGTTATTGTTTCAGTAAACACTAAGTGAACTGAAACAATAACTCGAGCGCCATCTTCGAAGCCGAATTCAAGGTTTTCGGCACGCTAAAAATAGTTTAAAAATCAAAAATATTTTGCAAAATATTCTTGCAAAAATTGGCTCCTATTTTATTTTTTATTTGTTCTTAATTTCAGAAATTCATTTTAAGTTGCCTAGATCCAAAAGGTAAGTACTGGTGAAATATATCATAAAGATAACTTTGGTGAAAATAGGGAGGAAATATCAGGTTTTTTTCGCTAGAATTAGTAGTCAAAGAATTTTAAATACATCAAATCATGTGTACAAGTCTTCTTGGGATCAAATTTTCCCTTCGTTTTGAGTCTTTGAGCTAAATAATTATATCGTAGATTGTATTTAAACTACATTCAGTTATGAAATCATGTGTAGGCGAGAACGTGTATCGCAATGTTTCATTGGAGGCCTGGTGTAAGAATGAAGGCGAAATGAGTTTCGAGAAAATACGAGATATTTTTCGAGAAAAAAGCCAAGAAATTTTACAAACTAATTTCTTGGAATATGAATGAAACTAATGTAAATATTCCGTTGCGCACAGCGAAAATGAGAAACTGAGATTTACTGAGTGATGTTGAAACTCATCCATAGTGGTGAACGAACGTGATGCATGTCCTACGTCCGCGACCAGCTCAGTTTGCAGTGTTTGTATCTGCTGAGAATAAAATATATTAACATATAGGATTTTTTGGCGTAAATTTTACCGACCACATACATACATACACATCTATACATACATACATTATTAATACTTTATTTGAACTGGCTAGCCTCATCAGGATTCCTGTTTTTTTATGAGAGGCGCATTTACTTAAAAAATATACAAACAATGTATTACATATATAGAACATACTGTACAGGGATAAAAAACAAATAAATATAACAAAGAGCCATAGACAAAAACCGTTAGATCGATATAAGATTGAGGACAGGTCAGCTTAACCTCAAAATAGAATTTATTATCCGTTTAAATGATTTAATGAAATCGGCAGTTTTTGCTTCGAAAGGTAGATTATTCCAATGGAAAGCTCCATTGAATTTGAAAGTTCTTTTCAGAGTCGTATTCATTTTTAGGTTTTGGTAATAATAAATCCGTTTCACGATTTCGAAGATCATAGAAGGAATCGCCCTCATTGCATCGTCGAAATAAATGTTTTAAATTTTGAGCAGTATTTAATCATTGATTATTTTATACATGTAAATTAATTTATTAGGTCTCACGTCTCGAGACTTCCAACCTAACAAATTCAAGACATCATCAGATCGAGTATCAAAATTAGACCCTGCATGTTATCTATGTAACTCTCCCAGCGGTAGTGATATATCGGATGATTCAAAAGTAAACCATTTGAAATTTATCCATTTTTGTTGTAGTATGAGAGCCATCATTTTTGTCGAATATTAACTTTACATAACATATTAACCATGCAGTCAAAAATTTGAAATCACTAATGAATACAACGATTTATTAATTGACACAGCGTGCAAAATGGCTCTCGGGATGGAAAATGGTAATATTAATGATAAGCAAATCACAGCTTCCAGCAATTGGAATATAAATCATCGGGCAGCTAATGCAAGATTGAATTTTACACCGCGAAATGGAAGAACAGGGGCATGGTCATCATTGCATCTAGATCTTAATCAGTGGCTTCAGGTTAATTTTCAGAAATCTACTCTGGTAACTGGGATCAGTACCCAAGGATGGAATAAATATCACTTTGTTAAAAGCTACACCCTCTCTTCCAGCCAAGATGGAAAGAAATTTCAACATTTTTTAGAAAATGGAGCAGTTAAGGTGCGTATTCTCCAAAACTTATACCTATTACTAATATCATACTAATATTTTATGAAGCAAAAAATTGTTGCACGAAAATATGCAGTTTATTATTAATTACCAGTGTGACAGGAATTGCGACATTGGTGATAAACCCTGCATGCATGGTATTGTTTACCGAGAGACTTTCACACAAAAGGAATTAGTTATTTTGAAGCTACCTTTTTTTCTGTTTTATAAAATTCAAATAAAGCGATGTTATTCGCGAAAACATCAGGAAAGTTACTAAATTTCAACTTACAAGAGAGCGCAAAAAAACTGAACGAGTGCCTCAAGATTACACTATTCATAAACGAAGGTTTTAAGCTAAACAAGACGCCTGTTCTGGCGTTAACTCCGGCGTGGCGCGCACGTGCCAGTCTTCAATATAAAGCTTCTGAACATAAACAATACAGTTCATATTTATTTAGATGCCTTGCGAACCTAAATGTTGTTCGATCGCGAAATTCAGAAGCACAACGTACTTTAAAAAGTACAGAAGCTCAATTGTAAAAAAATGTAAATAAACCGCATGATACACTCACTTAAATTCACTTTGTCTTACACTCTGCCTTTTGGAATTCATGCTTTTATAGTTATATTATATTGTCAATCCTGTGCAAACTGCGACGTGTCAACGCGCCCATACACGGCCACATCTTGTTAAATCCCGAAATAGCAGCGATATTACTAGTATAATACGACTAGAATCTACAAGTATTAAATATAGTCTTACCCCAATTCAATATAAACTTAAAGATGATGTAAAGTCCGTTCTGAGCATATATTCTGCGCATAACAATGTTTGTTTACGTTGGTTATATAATCTTTACATGACGTATGCGTCGTTATAATTTTCTTATTTTCTTCTCGCTCGACCGGCTGTGATCTGTGATGAATATGCTTATTTTATATTATATTTTGAAGAAAATGTTGTTATATTTTGAAGAAGATACAAAGCGAAGCTTGTAAATAAACCGGCCGTTATTTAAAACGTTATATATTTGTAATTGTAGGACAAGCGAGAAGGTAGCGTCTGTAGCGACAACAAATACCCTCGCCATTTCGGACCTCATTCAACAAATAAATTCTTGGAGCATTCCTTTCAGCATAATATTGCTTTTTTCTAGCAGCCTTATGATAAGATAAGTTATCGTCGTGACTCGCAATTCGAGCCTCTCGGCCTTGCGACATAAAATAAAATAATTGTGCTGCCGAACTGCCGTTTGTAATACAACGCGCTAATATCGCATATCATTAAGAGGAGATTTTTTACAAACTCGCGTATTGAGCGCTCAAAACCAATCAGATTGCTGGAAGTTGATAGAAGCAATTCCATGTAAACATGGCGGCCGGATTTCAAATAGTATGAGTGTTTCAGTGCCGTTTTCACAACCATAACTCTCGGAAAGTTATGCAATTTAACAGAAAATGAAAAGCATGTGATCATCTAAAGATATGAAACTCCTAGACAAAATGGATTCACTTTTTGCCAAATAATTAAGGACGGTGGAATGTTATACAAGAGTTCGCTATGATTGCAGTTCATAGAAGTTAGGATTGTATGATGATCATTTTACTGTTTTTGTATCTACTGCGCATGCGCGAGTAGATACTATGCTATCGCCTGTGTAAGTTAAGTTAAGTTAAGTTAAGTTAAGTTAAGTTAAGTTAAGTTAAGTTAAGTTAAGTTAAGTTAAGTTAAGTTTTTTTGTTAAGTTAACACCCAAAATAATAATGCTACATCAAGTATTCCATTGCTTTGCCTTCGGAGCCAATCAGAATGCAGAGATGGCGACGAAAGTTTACGAAAGATAGTCGATACATCGTCGATCGTATACACACAGGAAAACACATGGCATATTGGCATATAAATATAAATGCTTTTTTAAAATATCTTCACCGATTCCTTCGTTGATTTTGAACTGAGAGTACAAACCATAGGAACTATTTGGTAAGTTTTCTGTATTTTCTACCTAATTATTTGATTAATTTACTATCCTTTTGACATTTACTATTTAGTCAACTATCCTTGTACGATATCCTATAAATATACAATGTAGGTGAGACGGGACGAAGTCGAAGATCGCCCTTAATATAATATATCAAATTATATCGCACACAAACTTGGTAAGTACATACTGTACATATTTTGCTTGTATTTATTTGTGGTTAGGTCAGTCCATTTGTTGACTGAAAGCAATCAGGACAGACCAGGTTCAAGGCATATGAAAGCAACGGTGCAGTGGGCTTGAAACTTAGATGTGCCTATCGCCACAACTCAAAATAATGACTCTTTGGAGGAAGCTTATCATTCCTCTGCAGGGGAAACTAATCAGGCCTCTTCAGGGGAAACTTATCAGGCCCCTTGGGGTGAAAACTAACGTGCTTCTGCATGGTAAATTTATCTTGTTTCCTTTAAGGAAAGTTGCAATGTTTGTCAGCCTTCATAAATATTAAAATAAAATTCAGAATAAAACCACATAGGCACAATCTTCCTTGTGGTGTCCCATTAAGTCATATAATGTTTCAGAACATGATATGAGCAGTTACCTTATGCTTATGTGCAACAATTATATCAGGGTCAGTCTTCTAGTGTGTGGTGATATTGAATCAAACCCTTGTCCTATTCAACATAACAGAGAAGCTGATACTGCAATAACTTCCAATGTATCATTATTAGAACAAAGATTACATTTATATAATTTAAGACCATTTGATGTTGGTGGTGGGGGTGATTGTTTTTTCAGAGCTGTTTCACATCAGTTATTTGATGATCCGTCTTATTACTTAGATATCAGAGCTGCTGGTTTAACCTTTGAAGGTAATAATAAAATTATAATTTAAACTTTTAGGTCATTCTTCATCTATTCCAATGGACCGAACCCAAAGAGCAACCTGATGATCAAGGTTAAATATAAAACTATATGAAATAAATAAAAGTAAAAACTTAAAAGCACTAATAAATTAAACATATTAAATTGTAAATATTGTTATTTAATTCCTGAAAAAATTTCCACTTTATTATAAACTTTTATTGTTTATTTGTGGTATGTTTATTTAAGTAGATGTAAATAATGTATATATACCATATATGTTTTAAACGCCTTTCAAAAAAAAAGTTGTATTGACTAATCGATTTATATATTGTTTCGTGTTGTATTGAATAGTCATTTGTGAGCATTAATATATTTGTGTGAATAGTTCATTACCATGTTCCGTATTATCTATTGCTTGTGCAGTCTTAATTGTGAGTCGCCTAGTTCTCTTTTGGCAAGTCTCTCAATTTTAAGTGGTGAACAAATATCATGAACTTACAAATTCGACTTGCCTGCTTCAAACAATATGCAGTTCACCATCACCCTTGAACGCAGTAGATACATGCGCGCCTCAGCGAGCCTATTTTTTTAGCTAGGTAACTGCCTGTGATCACAATGAATAAAATATAATGTAATCCTTTGACATATCAGTGTTCCAAAATTGCAGTTTCGTGGAACTTTTAGTGCCTGATCTTATTAATATACCATCTTATTTTACAAACAATTCAATATTGGAATTGCTATCGGAAAAATGTATTACAATCAGCACTTTTGACCGTATATCTTAAATATTAGACGGAAATACTGTATTGTACGTGATTTTCTTTTGCAATAGATGTATTTTATGTAAAAGCATGCATTAGTTTTAAAATCCAAACATTAGATGTACCTAAAATAATTGCTGAGGTTTTGCTTGATTTGACATGAACTTAAAACATTAGTCTATTGCTAAAACCTATGTTCAACACTGGTAAATTACACCAAAACTGTTTCCGATCAAACTAATTCATATTTTGCAATACACCCTGGGTATTGTAGTTTACAAAAAGTATAATTTGATTTAAATTTGGGTGGTAGGTCCATGGTCGTTTTTTGACATTTTCAAAATCAAGTAATTTTCCAATTATCACAGCACATATTTAACTGACATCTCAGAATAGCTATCTACTTCTTGAGTAGAATTTGAATAGAGATACTTTGAGCCATATAGACACCTTCCTTAGTTCATATTACAAAATCCATAGCAATTAATTTACTGAATAAACAATTTTCATCTAAAAAATCCATAGGTTTTTATTTAGGTCATTTTTGTCAAAAAGGGACTTTATGCGAACCTTAAGTTTAGCCATTAAAATTCAGTGCAGAATTGTTTCCGATCAAACTAATTTATATTTTATGATAAGCCCCAGTTATTGTAGTGTGCAAAAATACAATTTTGCTCAAATTTGGGTGGTAGGTCCGTGGTCGTTTTTTGGCATTTTTAAAATCAACCATATGTTGTATATTTACTTTAGGCATTAGTATACCAAATGAAGTGGCACCTGTATTAACAATATTATTGATACAATGGAAATACCTAGGCAATTATATTTATAAGGGGTTGCTTTGAAAACAATAACTAGTGGCACAATAACTTTGGTAATTGCCAATGTAGTTAAGGTGGCTTTGTTAGGTTTTTTTCACTTGAAAGAAATGTGCTAGAATTATGTATTACATCACATTTCTTTGTGTTTAACCATAAAAAAACAATGCAAATGTTTCCAATCAAATTTTCTCTGTATTCACAAAGATGAATATCATAATTTGAAAGCACTTGTAAGTATTTGACTTCCTCCTAATTATTACAGTATAAGTGTAGACTGAGTGTAGTACACTATTTATTGAAATTATTTATATGATATTTTAACAACAAAGTCACATTATAATGTTCAGCTATATGTACACATATATCACACTATATGAACAGCTGCATAATTTGGAATGAATGTCCCATGATTGTCCCACCAATTGTCCTACATGTCCCATATTATGTACCCACCACACAAGGAATTCATTGTTAAAATAGAGAGGGCAGTTGTTTTTGAAATAGATTATTTAGAGGGCAGTTGTTTTCTTTCTTGTGTTGTTTCTTCAAATAGATTATTTAGGGTCTTTTTTATTATTGTATCTTCGAGCTACTACACATAAGTGACATAACCATCCACTATGCGAGTTTAGTAGTTTACTGGTATCTGAAACTATTGTTCATATTTTCCAATATGTGTTGGAGACCTAGGAATAAATACGTTGACATTTGAGAATTTTATTCTATCACAAGGTTAATTCTAAATCACTAAAATCAAACTTAATCAGTATATTTCAATATGTTTATACTTTAGTGTGTGACTGTGTGTCACTCCTTCGCACGAATAAAAATGTACGCATGGAAAATTATATCATTCAAAATACTAAAAAAATTGCACGAACACTCACCTGTTGTTCTTCTTTATTTCAAGAAGCTTTTCGCCTTTTGAAATTCTCCAAAAGTTAGTAAAACAGCTGTCTCTCGACACGAAAACGTTACCAAACTTGTAAATTCAAAATAGCTGCGAAGCATATTTTAGCGAAGGCCTGGTTGCTAAGTTTTGAGCGATTTTGGGCAAAAATACGCGACTTTCTAAAAAATCTCCTCTTAACATTCCAAAAGTTGCTCCCCCACTGATGGAATGTGTTGATGCGCGGAATATATGCGCAGAACGGACTTTACCTCATCTTTAATCGAACAGCATCAAAAGCTCGGTTTATTTGTTCTTCTTGGAGCAACATAACCATACCATAACTATAACATTGCGTGGAACGATTCAAAAGTCATTACCACTGATGATCGTTATGGACAAAGGCGTTGTTTGGAAGCCTGGCATATATTAATGCTAGTCTTTGTGCCCTAAATAGGGATGACGGAAGCTATTTGCCAAAAGAATATTTACATCTGATTGGTAGATGACGTCATTTTGAGATTATATAAGGAACCGAGTTTCAACATCAAATCACCCCTGACGAAGACACTAGCCGGAGTGTCGAAACGTTGGGTCGTGAAAGTTAATCTTTGTGTGGTGATTACTTTCATATATTAAAACCAGAGTAGCGATAATTACGATGGATAATACGGCATTCTAACTGTGGCAAATATTTTCCGAATATCTACAGGAATTCCAAGGTAACACAGACACGAATTCCATTGTCCATCACATGGTGATTCCTCGTATTTCAGCTCGGTTCATTCGCATTCATCCAACGGCCTGGAACAACCATATCTCGATGAGAGTTGAATTTTATGGTTGTTATGTATATTAATTATAGCAACGTTTTCATATATACGTTTTTCAAGATTAATGTTATTACTGTCCTGATCTGTTTTTCGTAGCATTAGTAACTTGTTTACTTGTTAGTAATTCATATGTCTTATTTTGCAAACATGTATGCATATATATGTTAAGGCCATGTTTGTGAATAGCTTTTGTTTTGTTAAGGGCGTAAAATTTTAATGGGATAACTGTTATATGCGTCTCACCTCTTCAGGTTTAGGTATTTTTAATTTTGAAAGTTAAATGCATGTAACATAGAATGATTTTATGCAAGAAAGATAGTTAACTTCGAGAGCGATCATTTGCGTTGTTATTGTCATAATAGGTTTTCACAACGCAGTCTTATCGACGGGTTTGAGTGAAGAGCTCAAGTGTTTTTCATTGTTTGCAGACATGCCAGCAGTCAACATGCTGTTGCTGTTTTCTCGTATGCTGCAATCTCACAGCGAATGTAACGCTATACGAACAACAGTTTGGCATAGCGGTTTGACAACAGTTTCATGCATGAGCTTGCATACGTTGTGTTCCTTTTCTATCACGCCTGGCTCACGCTCCTTCTTGCAGGGCCATCGAGAGACGTGCATTAGAGAGATTTAACAGTGACTACGAGTACGAGATTCGTCATTCTCACGCGTTGTTTGCTTAAACGCCAGCCGCTAAAACTCGTAGTCATTGGGCTTTAGAGTACGAAATTTGCCAACAAACTCGTACTCAAAAATCCGGTGACTATACGAGTTTTGCCTGATAGCGTAAGCAAACAACGCCCGAGAATGAGGAATCTCGTTCTCATAAAGGCGATGCTAAAACTCCCTATTCTTGACATGCCAGCAATACATGAGCAACTGCTTCGCCTAAGTTACGAACTTAACAACTGACGCGTCTAGTTTCCCTGGTTTTTGTTGTCTCCCTTGCTTTTCTCTCGGACGTGCTTTCCTGTACGCAATCGGTAGTGAACTCAGGTGTCGATCACGAGAATAGTTTCGCTCGTTTCTTCCTCTTCCGCAGTTTTCCGTATACGGCATGTTCCGCAACACCTCCAGGCTCTTATTTTGCCAGCGGGACATTCCCAGCAAGCGCCACCACCGTTGTTATCAAACCACCGGTCGTCGGTGTCTAATCTTTTAAGCGCAGGTTGCAGTGTTACACACCAGGAGAGTGGCAAAGAGAGGAAAATTCCCAAAGAAAAATCAGGTTTGCCACACGTCTTTATTTGCGGCATAAGGTCATTGAACATATTTGAGATGTTGAGCTGTTCAACTATGATGTGCAGTTTCCAGAGTTCCTATAGATCCTTGTCAAAAATGAATTATCGGGCACAGTTTTGTCGACGCTTCTCTTAATCTTTACGTCACGATCTCAGCATAATCAAAAATGCAGGCCAATATGGCCAGCAAGCATGCGTGACTTAGCCGCTAATTTAGAAATTCAATACGGCGTCGCGCTTAATAAATGAGGGGGGAAGATTTAAATTTGCTTTTTATTTAATCCACAATTGAAAAATCATTCCAGTCCACGTCCAAAATATAATATCATCAAATTGATCGATCTTTATCGAAATCTAATTAGAATTGCATATGTTGTGTAATATGATTGAAATCCCATGCAAATGTAATCATATTATGCAATTCTAATTAGACTTCGAGTATCTATCTTTCTATCTATCTGCGGCCAACGTTTTTGCAAATGGGTGTATATATATATATATATATATAAATATATATATATATATATATATATATATATATATATATATATGTATATATATATGTATATGTATATATATATATATATATATATATATATATATATATATATATAT